TGGCCCAGCCCCAGTGCTCCTGCCCCCCAGCCAGCCCTGCTTCTGCCAGCCAGTTCTCCCCCTCCCCACCGCAATCTCCCCTGGCCAGTCCCACTGCCTACCCCCCGCCAGCCCTGCTTCCGCCGGCCAGTTCCCCAGCCAGCCCTGCGGTCTCCCCCAGCCAGCCTCACTGCCCCCGTGAGCCGGTTCCCGCTCCTGCGATCTCCCCTGGCCAGCCCCAGTGCTCCCACTCACTACAAAGTTGATGTCCCACGATTTAGCAAATTCTCTGGTTTAGCACCCACCACGTCCCAAGGGTGCCAGACTAGAGAGATTCAACCTGTAACTATTTCTGGCGTTTATCCAATGAATGCCGATTGCATTTTTGTAAAAGGGTTTTTTAATCAGTGCTTTTATCAGTTAAGACTGAAAATCAGAAATCCTAATTGTGAGAATCTGTGCAGAGATGAGGGCTGAATATGAAGTTTTAATTACAAATATTGCCTGAGAACAGGGAGCTGCTGAAGCCTCATGAGGGCAGATATGCGGGGACTATTTGGTGTCCGGGTATTAGCCTGCTCACATCTAAAGGACCTCTCCCCAGCCTACGGGGAGGGTCCACAGAGCCCAACTGATTGCGTGGGGCAAATAATGAGAAAACAAGGACGGGCGTGAGGATCAAAGGGCTAAAATGAGAGAACCGGATGGGGATACCGAACAGAGAACCCCGGGCAGCGCCCACTGCCCCTCAAAGGTTTCGAGCGCGCCAGCGGCCGTCGCTCATTGGAACTCTGCCCGGATACGAGAGCGGATACAGGAATGGAAATAGGCTCCACAGTTACAGGCCCCTCCTCCGGCCAACCTCTTCGCCCTGGTTTTATAGATTGCCAATCCGGCGATAGCCAGGAGGTCCTGTGACTTTGTGGGGCCACGGATGGGGTGTGTGTAAATTAACAAGTGAGGGGAAAGTGCAGCCAGAACCTCAACAGGAGGTTCTGGAGGAGCCAAAAGAGAGACTGTAACCTGGTGCACTCGAGGTAGATGTGTGCCAAGGTCTCTCTCACTCCACAGAAGAGGCAAGTGTCAGGAATGGGGGTGAACCACGCCAAGTAAGATGGATCATCAGATCTGCGAGGGGGGTGCCATCCTCTGTCAGAAGGCAGACGATGTGCTTTTTAGCCCCTCTTTTTCTCTAGGGCATAGAAGAAGCGGGAGCCTCGATCCATCTCCCGAAGGAGACTGATACGAGAACGAACAAAGGCACCCCGGGCCCAAAGGTGCTCGAGGGCCCAGAGTTCCTCCCGCCTCTCCTGGTACACTACGCAGTGAGATGGACCTCCGGGGCTGGGAGCAAGTCGTCTCTCTAGCTTTAAGACCTCCCATTCCAACTACTCTATTGCCACATCCTTCCGCCGGCTGGCCCCCCTGGGTGTAGTCGCAGTAGAAGAGCCGCACGCGCACTTTCCCCACATCCCACCACCACTGCACCAAGGGAAAGGCGCATTGCCGCCTGCGCTAGGCCAGCCAGAACTCCCGGAAAGACGCTACGAAACCCACATCCTCCAGCAGACTGTTATTGAAATGCCAGTAGGCCGGACCCGGCGTCTACAAAGAAAGAGAGGCCTTCACAGCCACCAGATGGTAGTCCAAGAATGGAGCCGGCCTAATGCTGGAGGAGTGGGCCTGGAAGAGATGGTGACGAGACAGCCGGCGGCGGCTACCTGGGCATACGCCCTGGAGGCCGGGACACCGTCACCCCCAGAGCTGGTGGAAGGAACAAGGAAGGAGGGGGAGCCACGGTCAGCATGAATACTTTCCATGAATACTGCAGCTACTGTGTACTGCTGCAGTGTAATCCCATGACATACCATAGTACGATGAGGTACTGTGATGTCTCTCACATCATTTAGCATGTTAGTGACAAGATTTAGATCATAGATGTGCACAAAATATTCAACCAAATGCCTTCTAGGAGACAAATTCTTAGAGATCAGCAGTATGGTACAAATAATTGTAAAGAAAGGGTACTTACAGGGGCTCACATCTCTGTACCTGTTCCGGTTTTTGTTTCTGGGATGTTTGGCCACTTTACATGGAAAATCACTGGCTTCATGCCGGATATCCTAGAACAAAACCAATTAAGATATTTGAACTTGCCGGCAGTTTGCAAGAGGAGCTTTCTTTAGTTTCAATGTATCAGGTAGCGAGGGGTTATAGATTTTTTTTTCCCCCTAATTTTTTAAGTCACCTACAAGTGTCTGCTTACAATGGCATTTTAGTTTGAGTGTTTTGGAAAGCAACTGTTTAGAACCAAGTGTTTTCCGTTTTAGATTAAATAACGAAATAAGATTTTTCTTGGAGTGCAAGACAACTGACTCACTGGGCTATGCTAACATGCTATCAGCTTCGCACAAAGTACTGCAACACTTAGATACTGTGCTTTTAGATTAACATATTTATCTGATGTACAGAACTGTGCACACATGGCATTACATAAATATTTCCACCGAGTTATTCATCAGTTACACCTTAGGGTTCATTAATAATGATGGTTAGAAACAGCTCTCTGTCATTTAGTATCCTATATATTACCAATCCTAAAGTCTGAATTAATATGAGCCGGTTCCCGCTCCTGCGATCTCCCCTGGCCAGCCCCAGTGCTCCCACTCACTACAAAGTTGATGTCCCACGATTTAGCAAATTCTCTGGTTTAGCACCCACCACGTCCCAAGGGTGCCAGACTAGAGAGATTCAACCTGTAACTATTTCTGGCGTTTATCCAATGAATGCCGATTGCATTTTTGTAAAAGGGTTTTTTAATCAGTGCTTTTATCAGTTAAGACTGAAAATCAGAAATCCTAATTGTGAGAATCTGTGCAGAGATGAGGGCTGAATATGAAGTTTTAATTACAAATATTGCCTGAGAACAGGGAGCTGCTGAAGCCTCATGAGGGCAGATATGCGGGGACTATTTGGTGTCCGGGTATTAGCCTGCTCACATCTAAAGGACCTCTCCCCAGCCTACGGGGAGGGTCCACAGAGCCCAACTGATTGCGTGGGGCAAATAATGAGAAAACAAGGACGGGCGTGAGGATCAAAGGGCTAAAATGAGAGAACCGGATGGGGATACCGAACAGAGAACCCCGGGCAGCGCCCACTGCCCCTCAAAGGTTTCGAGCGCGCCAGCGGCCGTCGCTCATTGGAACTCTGCCCGGATACGAGAGCGGATACAGGAATGGAAATAGGCTCCACAGTTACAGGCCCCTCCTCCGGCCAACCTCTTCGCCCTGGTTTTATAGATTGCCAATCCGGCGATAGCCAGGAGGTCCTGTGACTTTGTGGGGCCACGGATGGGGTGTGTGTAAATTAACAAGTGAGGGGAAAGTGCAGCCAGAACCTCAACAGGAGGTTCTGGAGGAGCCAAAAGAGAGACTGTAACCTGGTGCACTCGAGGTAGATGTGTGCCAAGGTCTCTCTCACTCCACAGAAGAGGCAAGTGTCAGGAATGGGGGTGAACCACGCCAAGTAAGATGGATCATCAGATCTGCGAGGGGGGTGCCATCCTCTGTCAGAAGGCAGACGATGTGCTTTTTAGCCCCTCTTTTTCTCTAGGGCATAGAAGAAGCGGGAGCCTCGATCCATCTCCCGAAGGAGACTGATACGAGAACGAACAAAGGCACCCCGGGCCCAAAGGTGCTCGAGGGCCCAGAGTTCCTCCCGCCTCTCCTGGTACACTACGCAGTGAGATGGACCTCCGGGGCTGGGAGCAAGTCGTCTCTCTAGCTTTAAGACCTCCCATTCCAACTACTCTATTGCCACATCCTTCCGCCGGCTGGCCCCCCTGGGTGTAGTCGCAGTAGAAGAGCCGCACGCGCACTTTCCCCACATCCCACCACCACTGCACCAAGGGAAAGGCGCATTGCCGCCTGCGCTAGGCCAGCCAGAACTCCCGGAAAGACGCTACGAAACCCACATCCTCCAGCAGACTGTTATTGAAATGCCAGTAGGCCGGACCCGGCGTCTACAAAGAAAGAGAGGCCTTCACAGCCACCAGATGGTAGTCCAAGAATGGAGCCGGCCTAATGCTGGAGGAGTGGGCCTGGAAGAGATGGTGACGAGACAGCCGGCGGCGGCTACCTGGGCATACGCCCTGGAGGCCGGGACACCGTCACCCCCAGAGCTGGTGGAAGGAACAAGGAAGGAGGGGGAGCCACGGTCAGCATGAATACTTTCCATGAATACTGCAGCTACTGTGTACTGCTGCAGTGTAATCCCATGACATACCATAGTACGATGAGGTACTGTGATGTCTCTCACATCATTTAGCATGTTAGTGACAAGATTTAGATCATAGATGTGCACAAAATATTCAACCAAATGCCTTCTAGGAGACAAATTCTTAGAGATCAGCAGTATGGTACAAATAATTGTAAAGAAAGGGTACTTACAGGGGCTCACATCTCTGTACCTGTTCCGGTTTTTGTTTCTGGGATGTTTGGCCACTTTACATGGAAAATCACTGGCTTCATGCCGGATATCCTAGAACAAAACCAATTAAGATATTTGAACTTGCCGGCAGTTTGCAAGAGGAGCTTTCTTTAGTTTCAATGTATCAGGTAGCGAGGGGTTATAGATTTTTTTTTCCCCCTAATTTTTTAAGTCACCTACAAGTGTCTGCTTACAATGGCATTTTAGTTTGAGTGTTTTGGAAAGCAACTGTTTAGAACCAAGTGTTTTCCGTTTTAGATTAAATAACGAAATAAGATTTTTCTTGGAGTGCAAGACAACTGACTCACTGGGCTATGCTAACATGCTATCAGCTTCGCACAAAGTACTGCAACACTTAGATACTGTGCTTTTAGATTAACATATTTATCTGATGTACAGAACTGTGCACACATGGCATTACATAAATATTTCCACCGAGTTATTCATCAGTTACACCTTAGGGTTCATTAATAATGATGGTTAGAAACAGCTCTCTGTCATTTAGTATCCTATATATTACCAATCCTAAAGTCTGAATTAATAGTCCCAAACTGTGGTCATGTCTAGTTGAGTTAAGGATCAAATAAACTTAAGTCATCAGCAAGCTGTCCTGGAGCTGCAAATATCAAAAGGGGTTCTTTGTACTCAATGCGTACTCTACAGAAAAACAAAGATGGCATTCCCTAAGCCAATGCTGACAGCTATCCAGTTCTTCTTCCTCCAGTCTTTTCTCAGATGTGTTTAACAGCTCAAACCTCAGAGAAACCAAGAAGCAAAATACTGCCCAACTTGAACATAAATCCTTATTTATAGAAATTAGGAACACATACCTATTTGTATGCATACAAATACAACCTGTACAAATACCATTACCAGGAACAGCAGAGTCAAGAGATCATGTTATGGTAAACTTTTTTTGTAACTGAGACAGGAACAAAATCTGAATGAAAACTGCAGGAAATGCAGAACCGAAATTTAGCTAGTGCAGTTGGACCTCCCTGGTCTAGCACCCTCTGCTCTAGAACTAGAGAGTTTGCTGGACCAAGGGAGGTCAATGCCTGCCCCTCTGCAGCTGGCCTCTCCTGAGGGGCTGCCAGCTTCCTGGCCAGGTTTCCCTCCTGGCTACCAGCCCCCAGATTCCCCCCCCCCCTAGCTACCAGTGTCTGCTCCAGCCCCAGCAGGGCTCTCAGCCCACAGGGCTTCCCCCCCCCCCACAACCTCTGCTGACCGAGTCCAGCCAGCCCCTACTCCCAGGGCTCTCTGATTCGCTGATCTAGCAACATCTGTGGTCCTGCCAGACCAGGGAGGTTCAACTGTATACGGAAATTTAAGGAATACTAAGACAGATCCCTGGTATGCGTGTAAAGAGAACAGTTTAACATGGCTCACAGACCATCCAAAATACTAAAACAAGATATTCGGGCAAATTCATCCCTTTCCACTAAGGATGAATCATACCGATTTATTTGATTAATCAAATAAAGCTAATTTTACATTAAGAATATGCAAGTTCATTTGTAGTTTTCCATATTTTTTTCAGGATTATATCGTCAGCTGGTTAAATTGGTGTAGCTACTGACATCAGTAGAGCAAACACCAATTTATGCCAGCTGAGGATTTGGACTTTTAAATTTGGACCATATCAAACTGGTACTCCTTATGATTTTGCAGAGAGGTATGGAAAAATTAGGTACATAGAGAAGTGCTAAATCATAGGAATGTTTTTATCTGAAGTGGCCTACCAACTGCAACATTTAATTCCGTCCCTACTCCTCCCCCATAAAGATTTAGTAGCAAGCTCTAAGCATGCTATCCAGACTCTATTGCTTGATGAGTTATATTTTACAACTACTTGCCCCAAATTAATAAAGTCGACTTCAGCTGCAATCTTTTTATAACCTAACACATGGCTGGCTGTACTTCTGATGGAGAATGTAGTCTGCCAGTGTGGTGAATGCAGTTTCAACTTCAACAGCACAACCTCGGAGGAACATGAAGCCCCTGCAATTTACAAACATTTATTCCCAAATTGGTCATTTTATTATGTTAGTGGTTTTGCTACCATGTCCAAATTAAAGTATCATGACAAAAAACCAACATCCCCCCCCCTCCCAGAAAGGTTTTCTAAATCTATTTCCCACAGACCCTACAAAGTGTTTACAAAAAGACTCAAAGTCCACATGCAAAGAAATCAAAATATAAAGCAAGCAAAAGTCCATATATGGTTTTATTAATTCAATCCAATATGTAATGCAGAGGCATTAACTTGCCTTAAGCCATTGGAAGCCAATGAGGGATCCTAAGAACCTAAACTGTTCACTTCAGCTCATTTTATATTTTACAGCAGAATTACAACGATGCGTCAGTCACACAAAGGAATTTTAATAATGTTACGAGATGCTCTCCACCCTCTCAAAGAGCTCATGGTCGCAATTACAATTGAAGCCAAGTGTTCAATAAAGCGTTAAGACATAGCTATAGACTACAGGTTGGACCATTCTAGTCCAGCACCCTCAGGGCTTGACCGATCCAGAAAATTCACTCATTTTGGATCAGGGAAGGTCCTCCTAGCATATCACCCCTCCCTACAGCTGGCTCTGCTCTGCTCTAGCCCCAGTGCAAATGGACTCTGGTGCCACAGGACATGGACTCTGGCCCCGCTTCTGCTCAGCCCAGCTGGGGCTTGCCGGCCGCTGACAGCCCAGGCTAACGCTCTGTGGGAAGGGGCTCTCTGGCCACTGCTGCTGGCCCAGGCTGGGGCTCCTGGCGGGCTTGCACGCCAACCACTGGGTCTCTCTGGTCCAGCAATATCCATGATCCTACAGATGTTGCTGGACCAGAGAGTCCCAGATTTAGGAGGTTCAATTTGTATAAAAATATTCATAGATATAGGAAAAAAATCCTATACAAGCCATGTTTTTTCAGAGCATAAGCTAATGACTAACTGCCTAAGCTACATAGGTACCCTTTGTTGTAGTAGAGTGGGAGTTAGATACTTTTGAATAACCCATTAGGCACCTCTCTAGCACTTGAGGCATTTAAGTTCCTTTTAAAACTGAACCTGAGTAGCTTCTAAAAATAAAGGCAGTGATCTCTTTTCAATCCCCAAAGTAGGAAAACATGATAAATTTGCATTGCCTTAAATGAAGAAATGCTAGGTCAAACAGATGTGTTTGCTACTTAGATCTGAAGGCAGGAAGTCAGTAGGCGGTCTGGTTAAGCCTGATTGGGTCTGTGGCTCATGGGGCTCAGGCTTAAGGGCAGTTTAATCCCAGTGTAGCTGTTTGGGTTCAGGCTGCAGCCAAAATGTCTACACTGTAATTAAACAGCCATTAAAGCCAGGGCATCTGGGGCAATTCAGCCACAGGTGTCTAGCTGCAATGTAGACATACTTGTAGTAAAGTCACTGTCAGAGGGGGTACTTTCTCTTAGATACCTTGAGAATCATTGGAGAGCTTCCAATGTCAGGAGTACAAAGACTTTGTAATGGATTCTACACTAAAAGGGGGAGCCAGCACAGAGTGGAGCATTGCAGTGAGGAGTTCACAGGGACCTGTGATGCTAATTGCTGCATGCTATCCTGAAAAAGAAGGGGAGAGGGAAGAAGACAGCTCCCAATCAGTCCCTGGAGCTTCATTCTAAACATAGCAAACTGCGTAAAATAGTTGACCTTAAAAGTCATGAATGCATGGACATCAGGAGTCAGATATATTAGTGAAAGAAAGAGATGCCCTCATCTGACAAGTACCCGATGGTACTGGGTGGTGGAGTTTTGTGGTTTTTTTTAAAAGGTTGCTAATTGTGCAGCCAACTGTAATGAGTAGTCTAAGAATACTCCCAAGACAAAATCATAAAGCAGATGGAGCGGGTTAAACAGCAGAAAACTGCTCCGCTGGCAAAGTTATTATATAAAATTGTCCATTCTGGGGTTTCTTGCACTTTCCTCTGAAGCTTCTGCTATTGGTCACTGTCAGACAAATTACCAGCTGGGCAATTTCAAAATATTTCAGTTCTATGGTAATAAAACCTATATAGGAAGCCACAGTTTAAAAAACAAAACAAAACTGTAGGTGTGACTCCACGTGTCAGTATAACAAATGAATACAGGGCTTGATAAAGATAATTAACATTTTCTTGAATCACGTTCACATGGTGTGTCTACAGTGCAACACTCATTTAAAAGGGAAGCATAACATGATTCAAAATACCGTGCAATGTAAAACTTCAGGAAGGAACAACTGGAACTGAAAGTCAGTTTTCCAAAGTTAATTCTTCAGGCCACGTGTCAGTATAACAAATGAATACAGGGCTTGATAAAGATAATTAACATTTTCTTGAATCACGTTCACATGGTGTGTCTACAGTGCAACACTCATTTAAAAGGGAAGCATAACATGATTCAAAATACCGTGCAATGTAAAACTTCAGGAAGGAACAACTGGAACTGAAAGTCAGTTTTCCAAAGTTAATTCTTCAGGTTTGGAGTATGACTCACGTAGCACTCTCCTCACAGGCTTTAGTCCTGTACCCACTACAGACATTTCAGGGTAATAACTTGTAGCTTGGGAAGAAGTGTGTTGAAATGATGTACAGGCAGTCCCCGGGTTACGTACAAGATAGGGACCGTAGGTTTGTTCTTAAGTTGAATTTGTATGTAAGTTGGAACTGGCATCCAGATTCAGCCGCTGTTGAAACTGACCAGCAGCGGATGAATCAGACACGCCTGGGGCAGAGCAGCTGGAGTGCTGCTGGGTTGGTCTGGTAGCACCGACCCTTGGCACGGCGGGACCAACCCGGCAGCACCCCAGCTGCTCTGC